CGCATAACTAGGTAAATTATGCATTTGCCCTTGTTGACCTTTCATTCTGTCTGTAATATTACACAATATTACACAGAACGAAAGAATTCTGTACTATACGTACAAATATAAGAAGCGTAAGAACGAGGAGATAAAGGTGTGATCAGTACCGTAGAAAAGAGGAAAGTACGAAGAAAACAATTCTAAAACTGGACGTCTCCTCTATGAGTGAGAAAAAAATGTTTGATATAAGACTGTTATATGTGATAGACTAAAAAAGTAGAATATCTTAAAAGGTTAAATATTATGATCATATAGACTAACCGAGAATGTTTTGAAAATGACACACTGTTGCAACTTGTGTGAGACACTGATTCCTAGAGGCAACACTAATCCATTAAGCACCATAAAACCAGGGGCAGAAGGTGAGAAATTATATCCACTCAAGGCTTGCAGTTCTATAAGCCGTGTCCAGCCAACCTAGCTGCTAAACCTGCCTTAACGTTAATTTACAGCCGAACTCGAACTTTCGAATCCGAACTTTTCCAACTCGAACTCGAACTGTTCGAAGCAGAACTTCGAACGTAGGTTCGGGTTTGTAACATCCCTACATGTATCAATAGGCGAAGAAATGGACTACATTTTATTAATCAAGACGTTTCTAAAGAAAACTTTCTATGATTGAAAACAAATTTCTTATTAACCGCTATATCGATACTACGTAGTCTAAAGCTTTTCTTCTTCAAACACATTTTTAATGACATATCGTAATTATAATTAATTCGACTGAAATAATAATTTTTCTTAGTTCGTGAATTACATTTACGCAAATTATAATTTGTGATTAAAGATCCCATGTTTTATATAGTCGTCTTCTGTTATCATAAAAATATATATAATGCTTAAATAAGTAATTAAAAATTTCGCAGCGCCATAAAAGTAGACGTAGCGGTAAGAATCCTTTTATAAGAATCACATGTAAATATTCATTTATTAAATAATATCTCGAGGAATAAAGGCGACACAACTATCTAAGAACAGACTATGTTTATAACCGAAAAAATATTACTTTCCAACTTAGAAAATGTTTTTATACTGATCACAGTCATGAAATAAATGTTAACTTGACATATTTATCGGTTAAAATTGTATCTCATTATTTCTATTTATATTGAAAATATCATTGAAAAACTTTTATTTCTAAATACAAAACATTTTTAGAATTCTTAAAAGCCTATTTGTATGACATGTCGTTTTAATTAATGTTACTTTTTTTACTTAGTACAAATGGCTGATAACACATTGAAAGTGGACATAACGTCTGAGCTCCTAGTTAATTCCCCTTAAAAAATTTTCAAAAGATCCTCTAACGAAAAATGTTATTTTTTACGAACACGTGCGCGGTTTTATTATATCAGAATTAAAGGCAAATTTAACAGTTACAGAACGTCAACTATTACTAAAAACAATAAGTCTAAAAATATCATCTATGAAAAACAATGTTACTAAACGATACCGTAAAAGTAGAATTATCAAATTCGATTCATATCCGTCAACATGTTTCAAAATTAAATCTAACGATTTTTGTTTTAATTCTCCAACCATCGTTTTACCACCTACAATTTTGATTCCAACTCTTCCATCGTCAATAAATAATAGTAAGCTTATAAATAATACTTTAATATCTCTAATGACTAATATTAATGATCCAGTACTTGCAAATTATAATCAAAATTTTTCATTATTCGATTATGATTTTGAACAAAATACGAAGTAAAGAAAATATGTGAAAAAGAAAATTTGATTTTACGATTGAGCCGTAACGGACTTATTTATTATTTAGTAAATTACGAGTATAACACATATAAATAATAATTATTCTAGATCTTTTAAACCAATTGAATTTGATCAAAATTTATCTTCAGTTTTGGAATGGAAGGAAACAAGTCAGATTACGGATAAAGCAATATGTAAAATTCGTAAAATAAATGTCAATTTTAATTCTACAACTCTTCGTGCATTAATACCAGCATCAATATCCAAAATTCCAACCGTCATACCAACAATTTATGAATTAAAAAATCAAGAAGTGAACTGAATAAAAACATAAAATTACTTAAAAGTAAACACGGATGCTGGATGTCAATTGATGATGCAATTAAAACAGTAAGCATTATTTTATCATTTATTTATTAAAAATATTGCGTATGTCACTATATTTTAAGTATATAAACTATCATATGAAGTCGAAATAGATTTGGCTGGAGATTTTTTGCAGACGAGTTGAAGAAAAATCTTTTTTGCAAGTTACTTATTAGCATAAGAACATGATTAATTCCAAAATATCTCTTCTCAGGTCTTTTCCGTTACCGAGATAAGAGGCATTATTTCCTAAAAACTGGCTCTTATTTATCACTTCAAAGGCAAGATTTTTTGGTGAAATTGATTATTCAGGGAGCTGTAGCTTTGTACTTAGATTCTCTGACAGTTGTAATTTTATAAAAACGTTTTCCGTGGGCGGCGAGAGCGCGCGCGTGAGGTTTTTGAAAGAAAACATGTTGGAACGAGATTCAGCATAATCGACATCCTGTGTTTTCATGCATTTCTGACAGTCTAAACCGAACGACCGAGAAATTCTGACCTTTTCGCTGTTTCACTATTCAGAGTGTACCGGCAGTGTGAAATTCTGAAATTTCGGAATTCTAAAATTCTGAAATTTTGAAATATTTTGAAACTGTCTGATTGTCAGATCCTAAATATTTACGTATTCAGAGTAGAGCGCACAGATGAAATTCTTAGATTCTCAATTCTTTTCGCTATTTTGAGTACAGTTGAAGTCTAAAAATTTGAAACTCAGAATGTGAAATTCAGAGACTCTCGATGTTTCCCTATCCTGAGTCTAGTGAACTTGTAAAAATCTGAGATTCTTGATTTTCGTTATTCAGAATATTTTGTTTTACTGCTACTAGAGTATAGTGACGGTATGAAATTCTGAAACTTGGAGAGTTCCAAATTCTATAATTAAGAGATTCTCAATGTTTCGCTATTCTCTAGTTCGAAAACTCTGAAATTTCGAGATTCTTAGATTCTGAAATTCTAAATCTGTACTGTTGTCAAGGGGGGAAAAACAACACTTCACTACACCACACTACACTTTTTCCACTACGTTAGTAGTGTCGTAGTGACTTTGTAGTGGTGACGTATTGGATGTGTAGTAGATGAGTGGTAGGTTCCAGTGGTTGTGTAGTGGGCTACAGCGGTTATATAGTGGGCTGTAGTGGATGTGTAGTGCAGAGTAAATAAAATACGTGTTGCATGTCTTGCAGTAAAAATGAATGATGGCTATAATACTTCACGCCTTTTTAAAAGAAACGATTGAAGATGGAAAGTGATTGAAATAAAAACAAAGTAACAGTGACGAGATTCGAACTCGTGACTCCGGAGAGACCAGTGCCTTAAGCTGACGCCTTAGACCGCTCGGCTACACTACCTGCCATCTTTTAAGACAGAAAAGATTTAAAAATGAGCTGTAACAAAAATATGAACGTATATATCTAAGAAAATCAAGGGGGAAAAAACAACGCTTCACTACACTACACTTCGCACACTTTGGTTACATAGTGGGCTGTAGTTAGCTGTAGTGGTTGTGTAGTGCGCTGTAGTGGATGTGCGGTGGGCGGGAGTGGATTGTAATGCGCTGTAGTGATTGCGTGGTGGGCGATAGTGGATGTGTAGTGGGCTGTAGTGGACAATCCCTTGTAGTGTAGTGTTGTTTTTTCCCCCTTGACTGTTGTTCAACACCCGCCAGAAAAAGCAATCATATGTCCACTTGGTATCATCTCTAAATCTGTATCGAGCTAGCCAGAAGGTACAGAAAACTGGGATGTTCTCGCGATGAAACATCATGATGACTGCCCCTTATCTGAACCACAAAGACTCATCGTCTGTAATACATCAGCGGTCCCTGTTCAGAACGTCTTTATACAGCAGACACCACTTGTCCCTCGCAGTTACGATGGGATTTTATCATCTCAAAGTGGAAAATTTCATCGAACTCTCCTCGAACACATTTAAATCCGTTTCATCGTGTCCTGAAATACAGAAACAGGTCGTATAAAATACAGGGACATTTTCATATCAAAAGCAGATCCATCTTGCTCTCAGTCACTCGACTTGAATAACTGTTCTCCTCAGTCACCAACGGTCAATGACCCGTCTGTTGAAGTAGTTGAGCAAAATGGCTTTTCTGCTCGTACGTCAATGGAGGATCATTATTCTTCAAAAGTAACTACACAGGATGACAAACAAACGGGGTATATCTCTAAACGAATAAAAATCCTTAAAACAGTCTACGTCGACTTTCTTTAGATGTTCAATGCTGCATGCTTGAGAAATAACGTCACGCCTTATCTTCATATAGTTGGCAATCATTTA